ATTTATATTAATAAAATTTTAAACTTTATAAAAATAAAAATCGAAATCAAACATCATAAACTTCTAAATTTCATTTTTGAAAAAAAATAAAATAAAAAGAAAAAAGAACATTGTAATAGAATAATATTTTAACTCTTTATCAAGAATGAACGAAAAGAAACAACGAAGGAAAAAAAAAAGATAATTACATCACAACGATGCACTCGCTCGAAGGAAACAACAACTAATTGTATTTGCTTTTTTTTGGCGTCAAACAAACATTTGTTAATGGAACAAAAAAGAAAAATTCTATAATCAAGTATATTCTAACAATTGTTCATTTGATGTTATATACATACTTAAAAATACCTACCTTTTTGCGGAAGATAGAATTTAAATATTGATTGAGCACTTATTACAAAAAGAAAGCCGGTGAAAAGTAAAAGATGCGTAATGCGTTTTTCCTTTCTGCTATTTCAATTGAATGAAACAACATATAGCCTAGATATGAATTCCTTTAGAGTGTTTCGAATTCTAAAAATTGTTAACAATTAATATGCTCAGATCGTATAATAGTGAATAGTGTATTCTAAAAATCTTCCATTGAGGCTAGTTTAAAAACTAGAAAAATCTAATTATCATTATTATTTGAAAACGACATGATAATACGCGACAAGAATTAAATAACTGTGACTTTAATAAATAGAAAATAGAATTGTTCTAGGCATTCTTTTTTTTTTGTGTGTCATACAGAAAATTTTAATGAATACTTCAACTAACAATATCCCTTCTATGTTCATTTTTTTTTAACTTATATCATAATAACTCTCAAGGCAGTTTTGATAAAAAAAGAAGTGTAAGTACTGTCGTTCTCACAGTTTTCCTAACTTTCGCATCTATGAAAATTATTGTTTTTTTTCATTAAAGCCTACTGAATATTTTTTTTTTGTGAGTCTTAAAAATGACAGGATTTCCTCAAGTCATATATATATTACAGCTTAAACTTTTGTTCATCTTTTATTAAATATTCTTTCCATGATAATAGACCCATACTTGAAATTTTATCTGAGAATGACTATTTGATCACTGCTTTAAGTATTTCTATTAATAAAAGAGAAAAAAAAATGACATGTATAAAAAAGAAACAGCTTTTTCTTAATATAAAAATAAACATGTTCTGAATAATTCTCTCTTATGAAATTTATATACTTGAACACATATATTTAATTATGTATTTCGTTTTTAGAATATGTTGAATTTTATGAAAGCAATATATCTGTTGTTTTTTTTTGTCTATACTAGAAAGAAATTGAATTAGTATTTATTGCTTAAAAGATTTTTTTTTTTATTCATAGATCAATAATCAAATATTTGTATTCTATGACGTCAACTATATGTTGTTCATTTGTATATCAATAAGTTTAAGAAAATGCAAGCATTTATTTTTTATCTAATCAAAAACAAACAAGACTATAAAGAATACTTGTTATTCTAGCTCGAATAAATCCTCTTATTTAAATATAATTTTTATATTTTGTATAAATTTAGTCAAGTAGTATTATTTTTCTAGTTGCATAAATTCGACATTGCTGATTTAATAGATAATCCGCCTTTTTTTCAGAATAATATATTTTTCATGTATCAAGAATGTAACAGATATTTAATTCTTTGTTAAATGCAATAGACATCAAAATAAAGGTTAGAAAGTAAAAAATATCTTGACTTTTCTATTTGTTCGCATACTAAATTATAGTCAAGAAATTTTTATGAATAAAAGGTTTATTGTTTTAATGACTGGATTTCTTTTCTTAAGAAGTCAAAAAAAACTATGTCAAGATGACATCCAACTTCATAGAACTGTAACTTTTCTTAAAACTAGCAAAAAAAAAAAGAGCAAGTAATTAACAAAATGTGTAACTAACTCATACCATTGGAAAATGAAAAAAAAAAAGGATAAAAGTTTGGACTCCCAAGGATCGAAGATCGTATATCGGTAACGTCTCACTTTTAGGAAGTTGTAGATCTGAGAAAAGCTGAATTTCTGAATCAAGATCTGGATCCGATCGGGTTCAGACTCGAATGATGTTTCTATCAATATCTAGAATCCTGAGTGTATATGAAAAAGTTAACGTACGGTTATTTCTTGTTATTCACTTTTCCATCTTTCGACGCTCTTAATAAATAAAAGATTTTCGCCTAGTTAAAAAGAACATTATATTAATCAGAAAAAGAAAATTGAACAGTTAATCAATGAACAAAATTCATTAAACCAACATCTTCAGCTGTATGAAATAGTTTGAGTTGTAAAAACGAGATCAATCAAGTTATAAGCTGCAGGTCTACATCTTTATAAACTAGAATCGGTAGCTTCCTATTCTCTATAATATATGAACTATTGACTTAGTGCATTTCTGAACGATTAAATAAAAGGATGGTGAAAAAAATATGTTCCACTCTAGATAGAATAAACAATCTTTCTATAATTAACAATAGCAGTTACATTGTGCTTTGCATTTTAAATCCCATAAGAATTGCGCTAACAGCTTATTTATACAAGGAAGAAACGTTAATGTTCGACACGATATTTTATTTAGCATCGAGGTCGAGGGATGACGGCTTCTTAAAGATCAAGTTGACCTCTTCCGGAAGAGAAAATCAACATTGCTTCAACATCTATAAATTTTGCTATTTTCTTTAGAATTTCATATTCATAAAAAAAAAAAAGAAATATAGATTGTCTAAGAATGATAATTTGTTTTAAAATAAAACAGCAAATTATTAATTAATAATGAATGATCGTACAGCATCATTCTTTTTAAATTCAACTTATGCGAAATAATCACATTCAATATGAATGTACACTTGATCACCCCAATATTGAAGTTAAATATACGTATGATAAATAGAATTCATTAAAATTTAATAACATTCTTACTTCAATTATTTTTGCATAATCAACAATTTGAAGTTACAAAAGATTTTAAACTCAATATTTATCTTGAATTCATTTGTTACATTTAGTTCATAACAAGTACTGACTTAATCAATAATATCTTTTCACCTTGAAAACTTCTGAAAAATGATTCATGCTAATCCAATGAAGTAGTTATATTTATTTTTAATCTCTGTTGAAGGTTTATCAAAAAAAAAAAGAGATTTTGAACGAGATATTAATTCTTAGAATATAATTTTTATGCTTTTTTTTGTCTTATATTTTTGAATCAATGTTATCCTACTTCAATATGTCGATCTATTAAATGATTAATTTTAATTTTAAATATTTTATATAAATGAATTCGTATCATTATTGTATTATATTTCTAATAAAAGAATAATAATTTATCTTGAAATACATTTTTATAAATATTCATTTGAATTGAAAGAGTTTATATATAGTATTAAAAACAAGATCAAAAAAAAAATTCCATCAGGACTTATAATTAAGCAAAGATAGATGATATCTGTGTATTAATGACAAAGAAATTTTGCTCTTTTCTCTCTTCCAAAGTTTCCTGACTATGATTGAAAGTAGAACAAAGTGATAATATCTCCGATTCTTATCTACATCATATCGCATTGTCTGTTGTTCATACTGACTTAGGTTTTTTTTTGTTTTGGATATTCTATTTATAGTTTATGAAACTGTAAAACGATTAATAGTCTGATACTATGGTACCTCAAGCGAAGGACGCTATTTTGTTTTCATTGAATAAAATGGGTCAAATAACTTCTTATAGATTAATTATATCATCAACATTGCTAAAATTTCATATATCAAAAAGTTAAAATCATGATAGGACGTTCAAAATGTTTCAAGACTGATTTTACTTAAAAAAGCAAAAGATAAGTGCATTATAAATGTATGTTTTCTTTTTGAAGGCGAGCGCAGTACACTTTCGCATAGCTGGTGTGAAGTCATTTTCAGATAGATGGTTCAGATACTGATGTAATAATTAACTTCGATTAGAACCAGTTGGATTCAAAATTTTCAGATCCAGACCAGATTTGAAGAAACGACAGATGATGTATTGTCATGTTGCAAAATGACATCAGCCGAAATTGAATCTCGCTGTTGTTTTTAATTTTTGGATAAAGTTCTTTTTTATCAAATGATCTGCGTAATATATTTTAATGATTGTCATACCCAATAGTATGGACTTTTTGAGAATTATCTCATTATAATCTCAGAAAAATGAAAATAAAAGTTTGTCAGCAGACTTTGTTAGTTTTGTTTGTGTTGGTGAATCAATTTGTTTCTATTACGATTGTATACGTCCGTCATAAATAGATTCTTATACAACTTTATTTATGATTTCCTCTCTTGTATAATGTTATAATTATCCATAAGAATAATAAGGAATATTATAATATTTATATTACTAATGTGAAAGAAATCACAATTGTACAGTTTATAGTGAATGTTGAAATCTAATAAAATATCGAATATATACATATTTATCACGACCTATTCGTATAAGAGATTCGATGAAGTCATTCTAAACTTTTAAAAAAAAGACTGACGAAGGAATCTCTTCAAATATCAAATCGCTTTTCAATGGAGATGATGTTTATTTGGCGAGTAATAGAAAAGTCTAGAATGGTTTGATTTTTCTATTATTCATCAAATGAACATCATCCTGGTCGGAAAGCGATTTGACATCTGGAGCGAGGTTCCCTCATAAGTTTTAATTGACAATGAAATGGATTTCGTCATAAATAACTATGTAATTCAAATTATTTTTGATCTCTGAACAACCATGAATGATTGCTCTTGTCGAGTTATTGAGCTTACACTCACTCCGCTTTCATTCTGGTGAGGACATTAGATTATATCGAATATTTTTCATCAAAAATATCATTCAGTTATAATAACATATAAACAATGCTTGCTCGAATATTTTATTAACTTGAAAGATTTTATAGATAACTAGAATTCTTTTAGAAAATAAGAAATGCATGCATGATGTTAACAAAAAACTACAAATTTCATATAGTATAGATAGTTCTTGATCATATTTATGTTATTTTCGTACATAAGTCTTGTTACCATTTGCATTCCAATAGAAACGTCCACCTCTGGATCCTTCCATAATAGGTTGATTGTTTGCACTACCACGAGTTGCCATAAATTCGCCTGTGAATCGACCGCCACTACCTCTATGGATTGTAGAGTTAGTAGGCATTGGTGTTTGATAAGGCATACACATGGATGAGATATTCGGCGAAGGCATATGACTGCCCAACATCATTTGACGCATTTCATTAGACAAAAAGTCATTATCATCATCATAGTTTCTTCGAGAACGAGCTGTTGACTGTTCTCTCTCTTCATTTCTTCTCTAAATACACACATAGAGAGTTTGTTATAGAAAATAAAATTCTTGATTTTAATAGATTAAATTACTCGTTCATTTCGTGCATCTTCTTCTGCTCTTATTCTTCTTTCTCGTTCTTCTTGTTCGCATCTTTCAGCTCTTTTTCGTTCTTCGTCTCTAATCTAAAATTAAAATAAAACCTAAGACTACAAAGTCTTATGCTAATAAACAAAACTTACTTGTTGTTCACGTTTTTCTGCTTTTCGTCGTTCTTCTTCTCGTGCCTAAAATCATACAAAATAATAGAATAAAAATTTTTGAGTTTAATGAATACACTCACTTCTCGTTCACGTTTTTCTGCTTTTTGTCGTTCTTCTTCTCTTGCCTAAAAACACATCATATTTTAATATAAAACAAACAATCTTTTATTTGTTTTTTTTTTACTTTTGCAACTAATGCATGTTCATATTCTTTTTTCTTTCTACGTTCTTCGTCGTCTCGTCTTGCTTGTTCTTCTTTTCGTTGTCTTTCAATTCGTTGATATTCATCATTAGTATAATAATTTCCATTATTATTTTGTACCATTCGATCAATCATTTGAAGTAATTGTTTAGTTTTTCTATCCAATGGTTCACCATTTATTTTATTATTAATAGTAAATTTACGATTTCCACATTTTTGAATTAAATCTTTCAATTCATCAGATCGATTTATAAAATCATCAATAGTTTGACCTTCATCTAATTGATCTTCACGTGTAAAAATCACAATACAATATTTAGCAGCATCATCACCGAATATTTTTTTAATGAAATCTACTGTATTTTTTTCTTCAGGTGAAAAACGACCAACACGAAGAATAATTAAAAAAGCATGTACACCTGGTGATGTCATAGTAAAAATTTGCGAAGCAATTATCTGTTGTACTTGTTCATTTGTTATACACATATCTGTATCAAAAAAACCTGGCGTGTCGACAACCATTAATTGTTTTTGTCTTCCATCAATATCAGGTACAATAGCCGTTTTAACTTCACAAGTTTTTGTTATTGAATTAGGTGATTGTGTAGAATAAAATGCAGATCGTGAATGTAATAATGAATTGCCAATGGAACTTTTTCCTAAAATCGAAATTGTTTAAAAAAAAAAACAAAGTTTTATTTTATATTTTTGACACTGACCATTTCCTGTTCTACCAATTAGAACGATACGTAATTGATCTTGTGAAGAAGCCTAAACAAATATTTAAAAATTGTATTCATTTCACAAAAAGAAAATTTTTTTTTTCTTACCATATCGTATCTATGGTTTGTTGATCAAATTTATTGAAAAGTAATGTAATATTTTCGTAGAACCTGTATTTATATTGATTCAAATACGAAGAAAAAAAAATCTATCATCGAAGTAACTACATTTGCATCTTATAAAAGATGAAATTACAATCTGATTGAACGAAATGTTTACTTTGCAATGAGTTTTTTTTTCCACTACTAGGCAACACCTCTGCCGTCTGGTGATGTCAAGCCAAAAAAAAAATCAATATTCCCACTGGGTTCTTTCCATTAGAAAGAAGTTTGTATACTTAGTCTAAATAACCTCTAAATAATTTTACTATTATTGGCACGAAACAAAATGCCGAAAAAATGTCAATTAGAATCAGTACTCAGTTATGGATCTGAAGGTACTGTATATTCTGGTTCATGGCGTGATAAATCTGCCGCTATTAAAGTATTTTCAAAGAATTATATTCATCGTGCTGAAAATGAAATGAAACTTATTACAAACTGTAATCATCAAAATATTATTAAATATTTTGATCTCGAATATGAACAAGGAAATGCTTATCTCTCAATGGAATATATTATGGGTGGAAATCTTTATGAATTTATTCGAACAAAATTTACTTCATTTTCATATTGGACAATCATAGATCAAATTCTAACCGATATTGCTCGAGGAATGATCTATCTACATAATCATAATATTGTTCAAGGTGATTTAAAAAGTCATAATATTCTTTTACGAGATGACAATCATCAAGGTGTAATATGTGATTTTGGTATTTCAAGATTGCTTGAAAATGATATTGTAATAAAGAAACGAAATCAAACTGCCAAAGGTAATTAGTTTTGTGTTTATTGTCTTTATCTCATTTTTAAATTCATTTATAGGAACAATTCGATGGATGGCACCTGAAATATGTACTCCACCACCAGAACAATCATCATTTGAATCGGATGTATGGAGTTATGGTTGCATAATACTTGAAACTACAAGTGGTCGTGAACCTTGGATCGATCAATTTAATGATGATGCTACACTTTTTCGAGCTCTTCAACATAAAGAAAATGCACCTATCTTTGCACGAATATGTGCTAATGAATCCGGTCCATCTCATATTTGTAAATTACTTATTCAATGTTGTACTTGGTCAAAAACTCATCGTCCACGTTTTGTTGATATTCTCAATCGTCTCGAAACTGTATATGATGAAGGAACATCGATTGATGAAAATTTTCATCAAATGTCTATTGATATACCTATCTCCAATGATTCATCATATTTGAAGGAAAATTACACGAATGAAAATGAAAATATAGAAACACAATCAATTCATTCATTACAAAATGAAGAATTAAATGATGATACTAAGAAAATATTACCAAGATCAAATAAATCTCAGGAAGGACGTCTTACTGGAGAAGTTTTTACTAGTAAAGGCAGCGCAAGTGGTCGACCTATTTATGAAGGCATACGAGGTGGACGCTATTATTTAACAGCAAGTGGATCTAAAGTCTATTTGCATAAATAGATGTAACATTTAGAAAAATCTTGTTTTTCTTTTTTTTTTTGTTAATTAAATATCGTATAGATCAATTCCAGGAACTGAACTTATCAATTTCTAATTCTTTCAAATATGGAGATATTTTTTAATAATCCCAATCCCAGTATATATATTTATTAGTTAATAACAATTTAATTATCATTCATAAAAGAAAAATAACAAAATTAAATTAAACTTGTTCAGGAGGAGAATGATAAACACCACTCCTTCGTCGAAATTTCATTAATAAACGATTATATATAGAACGTGTATAATTTTCAATTGATTTTTGATTTTGTCCATAAGCATTTAAATATATTCCAAATGCTACAATAGCACCAGACCATAAATATCTAAACAACAACAACAAAAAAAAATGAATTAATTTATAATATAAAATAGAAATAATTATAAAATCTTACTGAAAAGTAAATGGTTTGGTAAAAGCAATAAATGAGAGAATAATTGTAATTGTCTTGCGAAATGTTGTAACTAAAAACAGACGATATTATTACAAAAATTTCTGTTGTTTTTTTATTTTTTTGGAATAAACAAACCAGTTACAGCTATCAGCGCACCAAAATGTCGGACTAGATTAAGTACACAATTAACACCGAGATAACCCGCAAATGCGTAAATCATAGTAAGAACATAAGATTTTATCGGATACTACAAAATAATAATAAAAAAAAAAAAACTTAAATTATATATTTTGCTTTTGTCTAATAAGAAGTTTAACATACAGCCCACCAAAGCCAAAAAGCTTCTTGCATTGTACCAAATATTGAATCGTATACAAGTAAATAAACAGCACCGATTGAATACGAAAAAAGTATCTAAATGAATTATTCAACATTTTGAGAAATACATTTTTTTTTATCAAATTTATTCAAAATTTATTCGAAATTTACTACTATCAATAAAAGTCGAGGTCAGACTGCATTGAACTTTTACGTTTGGAAGAACCTAGAGATACGACGGTCCATCAGTTTAAATGTGCTGCCGTATAGTAATGCATCCTAGAGTATTGCTGCTAACATCAATGTACATGTTTAAAAAACTTATGACGATAACGGATTCTTTTCCGACTAATCAGATATCGTAATTCTAAAAGAAGATAGCAGTATTACGATGGCGGTTGTTACCACAGGCTCTATGTATACTCATTGACTTCACGGTAAAGTTCATCGTTGCATTCCTAATCGTACCAAAATTTTGAGAAACTGATCACAGATTCGGATTCCTCAAATCCGATCATCTTTGATCAAACTTTATAAAAGATCGTTATTTTTCAAAACATGCATTTTCTTTTTGTAAACTCGCAAAGTTTTGTGTTGTTAATTATCTGATAACGTAAGTTGTGAGTAATTGTAACTTCCTTTCCCTATTGGAGACAAGAAAAACGAGCATACTCATATGAGAGTGAATTGTACAAACCCAGTTTTCAACTTCTTTTTGCTTTCTTTTTAGAAAGAAAATGAATGTGCCATTCTTAATAAAAATATTACCGACTAGTTTCTTCTTTTCCTATTTTTTCTTTGATTTACGTTCATTTCTTGTTATGTTTCTTCTCGCGTTCTTGTATTTTAGTTACTACTATTACTTCATTCTCTTCCTTTCTGCTTCGTTCCATCTGCTCGTTCATCCATCTATTTCTTGTCTTTTATATACTCATCTTTCTTTCTTTTTTTTCTTTCTCCTACACATTGATGCAGCAAGATGAATTTCTCTTTGTACTGTTAGGCCTATTCGTGCAAAGACTTCTCAATTGCTTAATAAAAAAAAAAATTGCTGACTCATTCATGAATTGCATCAGCACTGGAAAAAACAAGGGGTATAAAAAGGAGAGAAAAAGTCACAGTATACTAAGAAATGACACTAAAACGTAACTGCAAAAAAAATAAAAAAAGGTGAGTGACAATCAAATAAAATTGCTTTCTTATATACTTTTTTCTTCTGATAAAATAGTGATCGAGCATCAAATGGAGAACGTCTGTTATGGAAACTAGTTGTAGTTAATCATCATGTTCAAGAAGACTGGTATACATTGAAGAATAAATTTCCCGAAGATTATCAGCAAATGAAGCAACACTTGAAATGGACACCAACAGAAAATATTTCAGGCAAATTAATTCAAATAAAATTGGATACTCGTATATGGGAATACAAACTATCAGGAAATAATCGAGTACTATTTATTCTCAATTTCGAGCGACAAGAAGTTATAATAGAATATGCTGGTCATCATCTGAATAAACATCGTACTGACCAACTAATTCGCAAAATAAGCAAGAAATTATAAACTGTCATGGTCAATAGTCAAAGTTCACCTGTCTAAGTATGCTTAAGCAACCTTTCAAGTAAAACACTTCAATGATTAATCTAACGAGTATTCATTACAATTTATGCCGAGCATCATTAGCAACAGATTAAAAAGCCTATGACAATCTATTAAAGTAAACAAGTCATCGGTCCAGAGTTAAATATTTGCTATCTGTGGGCTTTCTTTCGAAGCCCACCCCCCCTACATATGAGCAAAAAAGGAGAGATAACATGGACCGCAAACAATCAGTGAAGTTTCTTCGGGGGGTGTATCAAAGATAGAGCGAGTAGTGTGACTTGAAATACCTGCCGCACTATCCTTGATATCTCTCTCCAGAAGAATGACACATCGATAAGGTATCATGGTAAGAGATCAATATTATTTCTTTTCGTTTTGATTTAAATCATACCTATAATGTACATTCTTTCATATATTTTAGCCTGTTTACTTCCATCAGCATGAGAAAATATTAAAAAAAAAAGAAATATTATCATCTCTTGATTTTCTAAGTTTTGAATTTTAGAATCTTTATTTACAAATAAAGACAAGTTGATATTCTTTAGAAGAATCTTTTGAGATTTTTTTTCGTATAGAACATAATTTAATCTCTTCGATACTGGAAAAAAAATTGATTATCAACTTTTTACTTTTCATACCATTTCAGAATTACTTGGTTTATATTCTTTCAATGCTTTTTCTTGTACATTACCAATAACAGCATCAGCAACTAAAGCACAACATACAAGCCATACACCTAAATATATATAATCATACAAACTAAGAAATATTTCAGTGATTTGTTTTTTTTTTTCTTTTACCTAATAGATCAAATTCCGGTTGAACTTGAGAATCAGCCAATGTAAAAAAGATAAGACCAATAGTCATACATAAACAAGCAAGTACATCATACATATTATAACGTTTTCCTATAGGTAATACAAACAAAAGATAACAGTTGATGCAAGGTTTTTTGTATTAATTTTA